CTGTTAGAAAGTGCTTCATATGCGAAAACCTGGTTAGTTAATCTAGCAAGCTACTGTATGTTAGACGAAATAACCGTTAGCCAAGGTAGCTAGCTAACGCTACTGGTTAGCTTACGTAGGCTTGTCTAGCTAGAAATCGAGCTAACTAATATCTTAGTCGTATTTCAGACTTTGCTAATAACGATGACCTTCGTCTTACAAGCTAGCTAGATTTTTAATTAATTGTATACTATTGAGCTTACCTGAAATGAAGTGAGTGCTGCAGACCCCTGGTATGATTTTTGGGCTCCCTTCGGACTGCAGTGGGCCAAGCTCGTCGCCTTTCCTCGTTTTTTTGGGAAATCTGAACATTTTTATATTTGATAAGGCATTTGTGCCTGACCTCAAGCCACAACCAACAAAAGAACAGCAACTACCAAAGTTGGTCCAATGAATTTAAGGCTAGTAGAAGAACAGTATTATTAGTATTACTAGTAGTAGTCGTATAAGAACAACAAGTTTTCGGACAGGAAGTTGTCAGGGGTCCCACAATTATTTAGAATGCAAGCGCGCATTCTATTATAACAATCAACAGGGGCGCAACTTTGGTTTTAGAAGTGAGGGGACATACAGTGCCTTCAGAAAGTATTCAGACCCCTTGACTTTTTCTACATTTTGTTACGTTTTTAAAATGTTTTGTTCCTCAATCTACACACAATACCCCAAAATGACGAAGCAAAAACAGGTTTAGAAAATGTTGCTAATTTATTAAAAATAAAAAACTGAAATATGCCATTTACATAAGTATTCAGACCCTTTACTCAGTACGTTGTTGAAGCACAGATGAACTCTGGAGCTCTGTCAGAGTGACCATCGGGTTCTTGGTCAACTCCCTGACCAAGGCCCTTCTCCCCCGATTGCTCAGTTTGGCTGGGCGGCCAGCTCCAGGAAGAGTATTGGTGGTTCCAAACTTCTTCCATTTAAGAATTATGGAGGCCACTGTGTTCTTGGGGACCTTTAATGCTGCAGACATTTTTTTGTATCCTTCCCCAGATCTGTGCCGACACAATCCTGTCTCGGAGCTCTATGGACAATTCCTTCAACCTCATGCCTTGGTTTTTGCTCAGACATGCACTGTCAACTGTGGGACCCTATATAGACGGGTGTGTGCCTTTCCAAATCATGTCCAATCAATTGAATTTACCACAGGTGGACTCCAATCAAGTTGTAGAAACATCTCAAGGATGATCAATGAAAACAGGATGCACCTGAGCTCAATTTCGAGTCTCAGAGCAAAGGGCCTGAACACTTATGTAAATAATGTTTGTTTTTTATTTGTAATAATAACTCCAAAAAATTCTAAAAACCTGTTTTCGCTTTGTCATTATGGGGTATTGTGTGTAGATTGATGAGGATTTATTTTTATTTAATCCATTTTAGAATAAGGCTGTAATGTAACAAAATGTGGAAAAAGTCAAGGGGTCTGAATACTTTCCGAAGGCACTTTAACATTATTCGTTTTTTTATCCAGTCGGATAAACACTCCAAACAGCCTACCCGACCGCTCTGAGGCGTCCGCATGGTCCTAAAGCACACCGTTACCTCGTTTTGTATCACATTCCAATGATAAAACTGGGGGGAGGGACAAAATTGCAATTTCAGAATGTGGGACAGGGGGGACATTTCCCCACCGTCCGCAGTGAAAGTTGTGCCCCTGACAATCTATATCCAGCCCTCCTTATATTCAGTTTTTAAAGGAAAGTCTAAAGTCCTCTATGGATCCTCTCTTAAATAGAGTCTTAAATAAAAAATATAATCCTATGTGGCTCAGTTGGTAAAGCGTGGTGCTCGCAACGCCAAGGTTCGTGGGTTTGATTCCCGCTAGAGCCACCCATACGAACGCATAACTGTAAGTTACTTTGGATAAAAGTGTCTGTTAAATGGCATATACATACCTGAATGGAAGTGAGATGGCCATACTGAGCGGCTACATGCACTGCACTGTTTCCATACTGGTCCACTTCATCCAGAGAAATGGCTTGCTCTTGCATAAACTGGAGCAGCCACAACAGAACCTTTTCCTAAAAGAGAGATAACGGACATCCGAAATTGACAAACAAAAGGGAAAATAAATTGGGTCCAAAAGTCATACTGTGGTCACCACTGGAGCATTTCTGTCACCGCAAATACACTGCTCAAAAAAATAAGGGAACACTAAAATTACACATCCTAGATCTGAATGAATGAAATAATCTTATTAAATACTTTTTTCTTTACATAGTTGAATGTGCTGACAACAAAATCACACAAAGATTATCAATGGAAATCAAATATATCAACCCATGGAGGTCTGGATTTGGAGTTACCCTCAAAATTAAAGTGGAAAACCACACTACAGGCTGATCCAACTTTGATGTAATGTCCTTAAAACAAGTCAAAATGAGGCTCAGTAGTGTGTGTGGCCTCCACGTGCCTGTATGACCTCCCTACAACGCCTGGGCATGCTCCTGATGAGGTGGCGGATGGTCTCCTGAGGGATCTCATCCCAGACCTGGACTAAAGCATCCGCCAACTCCTGGACAGTCTGTGGTGCAACGTGGCGTTGGTGGATGGAGCGAGACATGATGTCCCAGATGTGCTCAATTGGATTCAGGTCTGGGGAACGGGCGGGCCAGTCCATTGCATCAATGCCTTCCTCTTGCAGGAACTGCTGACACACTCCAGCCACATGAGGTCTAGCATTGTCTTGCATTAGGAGGAACCCAGGGCCAACCGCACCAGCATATGGTCTCACAAGGGGTCTGAGGATCTCATCTCGGTACCTAATGGCAGTCAGGCTACCTCTGGCGAGCACATGGAGGGCTGTGCGGCCCCCCAAAGAAATGCCACCCCACACCATGACTGACCCACCGCCAAACCGGTCATGCTGGAGGATGTTGCAGGCAGCAGAACGTTCTCCACGGCATCTCCAGACTCTGTCACATGTGCTCAGTGTGAACCTGCTTTCATCTGTGAAGAGCACAGGGCGCCAGTGGCGAATTTGCCAATCTTGGTGTTCTCTGGCAAATGCCAAACGTCCTGCACGGTATTGGGCTGTAAGCACAACCCCCACCTGTGGACGTCGGGCCCTCATACCACCCTCATGGAGTCTGTTTCTGACCGTTTGAGCAGACACATGCACATTTGTGGCCTGCTGGAGGTCATTTTGCAGGGCTCTGGCAGTCCTCTTCCTGCTCCTCCTTGCACAAAGGTGGAGGTAGCAGTCCTGTTGCTGGGTTGTTGTCCTCCTACGGCCTCCTCCACGTCTCCTGATGTACTGGCCTGTCTCCTGGTAGCGCCTCCATGCTCTGGACACTACGCTGACAGACACAGCAAACCTTCTTGCCACAGCTCGCATTGATGTGCCATCCTGGATGAGCTGCACTACCTGAGCCACTTGTGTAGGTTGTAGACTCCGTCTCATGCTACCACTAGAGTGAAAGCACCGCCAGCATTCAAAAGTGACCAAAACATCAGCCAGGAAGCATAGGAACTGAGAAGTGGTCTGTGATCACCACCTGCGAAACCAGTCCTTTATTGGGGGTGTCTTGCTAATTGCCTATAATTTCCACCTGTTGTCTATTCCATTTGCACAACAGCATGTGAAATGTATTGTCAATCAGTGTTGCTTCCTAAGTGGACAGTTTGATTTCACAGAAGTGTGACTGACTTGGAGTTACATTGTGTTGTTTAAGTGTTCCCTTTATGTTTTTGAGCAGTGTATATACATTTCTACAATTAATATTGTATATTTTATAAAATGTCTTATAATTGTTTTGACTGAGAAATACACTACCAGTCAAAAGTTTGGACACACCTACTCATTCAAGGGTTTTTCTTTATTTTTACTATTTTTTCCATTGTAGAATAATAGTGAAGACATCAAAACTATGAAATAACACCTATGGAATCATGTAGTAACCAGAAAAAGTCTTAAACAAATCAACATTTATTTTATTTTTGAGATTCTTCAAAAAGCCACCCTTTGCCATGACAGCTTTACATACTCTTGGCATTCTCTCAACCAGCTTCACCTGGAATGCTTTTCCAACAGTCTTGAAGTTGTTCCCACATATGCTGAGCACTTGTTGGCTGCTTTTCCTTCACTCTGCCGTCCGACTCATCCCAAACCATCTAAATTGGGTTGAGGTCGGGGGATTGTGTGTTGGGTCATGTCCTGTTGAAAAACAAAATGATAGTCCCACTAAGCCCAAACCAGATGGGATGGCGTATCGCTGCAGAATGCTGAGGTAACCATGCTGGTTAAGTGTGCCTTGAATTCTAAATAAATCACAGACAGTGTCACCAGCAAAGCACCCCAACACCTCCTCCTCCATGATTTTTGGTGGGAACTACACATACGGAGATCATCCGTTCAAACACACCGCGTCTCACAAAGACACAGCGGTTAGAACCAAACATCTCCAATTTGGACTCCAGACCAAAGGAAACATTTCCACCTGTCTAATGTCCATTGCTCGTGTTTCTTGGCCCAAGTCTCTTCTTATTGGTGTCCTTTAGTAGTGGTTTCTTTGCAGCAATTCGACCATGAATGCCTGATACACACAGTCTCCTCTGAACAGTTAATGTTGAGATGTGTCTGTTACTTGAACTCCGTGAAGCATTTATTTGGGTGCTCCAAGAAAGTACTGAGTAAAGGAATTCTTCTGTAAAAGTGATATTTTTCTATTCTTAATAAATTTGAAAACATTTCTAAAAACCTGTATTTGCTTTGTCATTATGGGGTATTGTGTGTAGATTGATGAGGGGAAAAACAATTTAATCTATTATATAATAAGGCTGTAATGTATCAAAATGTGGAAAAAGTAAAGGGATCTGAATACTTTCCGGATGCACCGTATATATTTATTATGTGTAGGTTATTTTGTCTAGATTCTGTCTGTATATTCTGTTCATTGTTGTCAGCACCATTCCACCAGGACAAATTCCTGGTACATGATTCTGACTTCCCAATGACAGTGTTATACGCCGGTGTGAGTCTCCCTCACCTGTCCGTAGCGGGCTGCGTAGTGGATGAGACTGGGGTGCTCTCGGCTACAGCTCAGCTCTGCGATGGCCTCCGTTTCACTCACCATCCAGCGCACACACTCCAAATGGCCATTCTGCATACACACAGGTTATTCTGTAGATCAGTTTGATTGCGACACTGTCCTGATACTCTTTAATTTAACAGAGGGAATGAAAGAGGGTAAACCTGACAAATACAGCTAAGTATCCAAAGCCCAGACGTACACAGTCAGAGACATGGTGTTATCTTTCTCCTCAGGAGTGTCAAGGTCGTAACTAACAACCAACTCTTTTCACTACATAGTGCACTACTTGTGACCAGAGCCCTATTGACCAGGGCCCATAGGGCTCTGATCGAAAGTAGTGCACTATACGGGAAAAGGGTGCCACAGAATCTAGGCGTCTGCCTTGGTTGGTATGGCAGGTGGACATGTCCACACGCACAATTTGGTTCCCTAGAGGCCCTGACCAAACCTCTAACCCCTCACTCACCTTCACCCCGAGCCCAGCAGGCGTGAGCTGGTGGATGTTGCGCTCGTTGAGGCAGTCCTCTCCCATGAGGGAGGTGAGGTGCTGCAGGCAGTCGGCGTGGCCCTGGGCCGCAGAGATGTGGAGCAGGTTGTTCCCCTCCTCGTCCCGGATCAGCTCCAGGTTATCAGTGGCAAGGTGAGGCTGTGGCCAGAGAACACCAGGTAAAAGACTCAGTGAGTTGTTGATACAAACCGGTCTTGTTCATATAAGCTTATCACTTAGAGCTGGGTGATATGGACAAAAATCCACATCGCGATAAATTGCCTTAATTGATGCGATAATTATAAATAGAACGATAACTTTATAACATTAATGTGTACCTTTTTTTTTTTTACTGATCCTTGAAACTACTACTAGGTTGATGATTATAGCCATCAACAATCACCCATATTAGCCAAATTATTTCATTTCAAACTTCACAGTATAAGTTACTTATCGTAATGAACGATATTAGCAAAGTGCTTACGATCAGTGGTTGTGTCGATAACAGGGGTGAAAGCAACAACAAATAATCCAGTGACTGAAACAAGTCGATCTCAGATCGATTTACTGAGCCCAAGTTAACCTCCCCTTTCATGTAAAAAACGTCATGACCATCATGCTTTTTGGGAAAGAGGATAATCTTGTACATGAATTAAACTGCGAGTTTGACCAATTCCAGTCCCCTTGCTTACATGGTCCAGCGTCCTCCTTGGAATAATTTTTATGTAGAAGGACTGACAAGCTCAGTTCTGGTGACCTTTTAAAAGGTCACATTCTACTCCAAAATGTATAAAAATAAAAGGACACAGACACATCCTAAAATATAAGTTCCCCCTCCAGAAATGAGCCCAATAACATATTGAAAATATATATATATATATATTTTTTTTTTTTACATATTGGACCATGCATATAGCCTAAACATGGTCTATATTATCAGGATGTGCTATTAGAATTACCACCTGTAGCCCAATTGATGCAGCAAAATATTTATTTGGGAATATATTTTGTGGAACAGACATGCTTCTGTATTAGGCTGTCAATTCCAAACTGTTGACTTACCAACAGAGAAATCTGCCCCTCTCGGATGATATTGATGATGTTCTTGGATTTCTTGGTATCCTCATCACACTCTCCGTGCAGTCTGATACTGCTCCAGGTCTTACTGCTGTCCTGCCTAGCCCCAGCACAGCCCTGGAGGGGGATCATCAAAGCCTGGCTGCTCCCAGGGGTGTCACCCCCTGCCTTGTGTGCCGTTGGCTCCGGGTAGGCCCTGTTGGCTAAAAGTTTGTCCATGTCCGAGGCCGAAGAACAGCTAAGCTGGCCTGGTGTGGAGTGGTCATAGCCCCCAGTGGGTGGGCGGTGATAGTCCGGGTCCATAGATTTGGACTTGCTCATATCAGACCACTTGAGGGGCGAGAGCACACCGTACTGGGTGACACTTCCTAGGCTCTCAGAGTGGGGAAGTGTTGAGGTCTTAACGCCGTGGTACCTGTCACTGGCGCCACCATCCCCGATGCTGCCCACCGTCCTTTTGTCATGGGGAACTCTGGGAAGAGTGGAGACATGGCTAGATTTAATGTAAGGCACGTCCAGTATCTCATCCATGTCCAGGTCGTAGTGCTCCAGCTCCCCGAAAAGAGCTCCTCCGGTGCCCATGCTCTTGGCTTTAGATCCCTGGCCTTCGCATGAGGCCGCAGGCGTTTCATCTGAGGCTTCCTCTTTGTTGCTGCCTTCTTCATTGTGAGCCCGAGCCTCGTTGTCAGAGGTCTCTGGTTGATGTTTGAGTGGCGAGACCCTCTTCACAGGTCGGAATTTGGTGTGGACGTCGGTGATGCCGGTCGGCTTGATTCCACCGCCGCTATGTGACGACACGCCGCGACTCCAGTTGATGGCTGGGGCTAAGGGAGAGAACGTTATCTATAATAAGGGTTACATGGAGAAAATCGGACCGCTCTGAATTTCAACTGGATGGCCCTCCCTCTAGCAAAACAAAAAATGCACTAAAAAAAAAAAAAACGTGACCCTCCCCTATACCCAAAATAATAATTCAAAGAAAGTGGATAGCAGAGAAAATGTCTACCGTTTACCCTACGTCTTGGATAGACCAGAGACTTAGATATGCTGTTTTAAAAACTGTTCTTATTCCTGTAAGCATTACATGGCAACGCAGGAATTTTGATAGCGCACAGGGCTGCGGGCCAGAAGGTTGTGGGTTCTCAGACCACCGTGGACAAGAGTAGGGGTGAAAAGATCTTCATAGTATAAGTATTGCATGAATCTATCATATTTGCAGGTCTGAAAAAAAAGAGCCTTTATAAAATTCAAATAAAACAATTATACGTAATTTTACATATTAGCAGAATCTTAATACCACACAAATTACAGACTAAGAATGGACAGAGAGATAGGCCTATGTGTTCATCTTATCATATTTCTCCAATGCCAAATTAGTGTATCTTGTTTGCAACGAAACTGAACCCATTTGCAAATAATTAAATCTGAGACGTCATTAGGAATCTGTGCATGGTACTTTCAAAAGTTAGGCCTACCTTTCCACCCCAGACAGAGTAGGACTACTGACGCATAACATTTTAAGCTTTAAATGCTGGCTACTCATCTTCCGTGGCTTAACCCAATGAGAGAAAGTCACAAGTGTTTCCCTAAAAGCAGTCTGGGTTTAAATATCTTCTATTGTACAGAAAGTAAATAGCTTAAAATCAATTGCTAGTGACAGAATTAGATTACTTCCCAAGCAAAGTCAATTTTTTGTCTCCTTGGTTGTCGCTCAGCCTCTGAATATCAAAGAAACAAAACAATGACATCTCCATATGCATCGGAGTCATGTCTTTCCCAGGTATTTTACAGATTGTTTCTATCATGAAGAGTCACGGACCAAAGCGCTGTTATAGATCACTTCATATAATCGGATCCGTTACATTTTCTTCAAAATCTTAAGCTCTTGACATTTTCAGTATTGACTGACCTTCATGTCTTAAAGTAATGATGGACTGTCGTTTCTCTTTGCTTATTTGAGCTGTTCTTGCCATAATATGGACTTGGTCTTTTAACAAATAGGGCCATCTTCTGTATACCCCCCACCTTGTCACAACACAACTGATTGGCTCAAACACATTAAGGAAAGAAATTCCACAAATTAACTTTTAAGAAGGCAAACCTGTTAATTGAAATGCATTCCAGGTGACTACCTCATGAAGCTGGTTGAGAGAATGCCAAGAGTGTGCAAAGCGGTCATCAAGGCAAAGGGTGGCTATTTGAAGAATCTCAATTATAAAACATATTTTGATTTGTTTAACACTGTTTTGGTTACTACATGATTCCATAGGTGTTATTTCATAGTTTTGATGTCTTCACTATTATTCTACAATGTAAAAAATAGTAAAAACAAAAGAAAAACCCTTGAATGAGTAGATGTGTCCAAACTTTTGACTGGTAGTGTGTGTGTGTGTGTGTGTGTGTGTGTGATATATGTATATATATACAGTGAGGGAAAAAAGTATTTGATCCCCTGCTGATTTTGTACGTTTGCCCACTGACTAAGAAATGATCAGTCTATAATTTTAATGGTAGGTTTATTTGAACAGTGAGAGACAGAATAACAACAAAAAAATCCAGAAAAACATATGTCAAAAATGTTATAAATTTATTTGCATTTTAATGAGGGAAATATGTATTTGACCCCCTCTCAATCAGAAAGATTTCTGGCTCCCAGGTGTCTTTTATACAGGTAACGAGATGAGATTAGGAGCACACTCTTAAAGGGAGTGCTCCTAATCTCAGTTTGTTACCTGTATAAAAAGACACCTGTACACAGAAGCAATCAATCAATCAGATTCCAAACTCTCCACCATGGCCAAGACCAAAGAGCTCTCCAAGGATGTCAGGGACAAGATTGTAGACCTACACAAGGCTGGAATGGGCTACAAGACCATCGCCAAGCAGCTTGGTGAGAAGGTGACAACAATTGGTGCGATTATTCGCAAATGGAAGAAACACAAAATAACTGTCAATCTCCCTCGGCCTGGGGCTCCATGCAAGATCTCACCTCGTGGAGTTGCAATGATCATGAGAATGGTGAGGAATCAGCCCAGAACTACACGGGAGGATCTTGTCAATGATCTCAAGGCAGCTGGGACCATAGTCACCAAGAAAACAATTGGTAACACACTACGCCGTGAAGGACTGAAATCCTGCAGCACACGCAAGGTCCCCCTGCTCAAGAAAGCACATATACAGGGCCGTCTGAAGTTTGCCAATGAACATCTGAATGATTCAGAGGAGAACTGGGTGAAAGTGTTGTGGTCAGATGAAACCAAAATCGAGCTCTTTGGCATCAACTCAACTCGCCGTGTTTGGAGGAGGAGGAATACTGCCTATGACCCCAAGAACACCATCCCCACCGTCAAACATGGAGGGGGGGGGGTTTCTGCTAAGGGGACAGGACAACTTCACTGCATCAAAGGGACGATGGACGGGACCATGTACCGTCAAATCTTGGGTGAGATCCTCCTTCCCTCAGCCAGGGCATTGAAAATGGGTTGTGGATGGGTATTCTAGCATGACAATGACCCAAAACACATGGCCAAGGCAACAAAGGAGTGGCTCAAGAAGAAGCACATTAAGATCCTGGAGTGGCCTAGCCAGTCTCCAGACCTTAATCCCATAGAAAATCTGTGGAGGGAGCTGAAGGTTCGAGTTGCCAAACGTCAGCCTAGAAACCTTAATGACTTGGAGAAGATCTGCAAAGAGGAGTGGAACAAAATCCCTCCTGAGATGTGTGCAAACCTGGTGGCCAACTACAAGAAACGTCTGACCTCTGATTGCCAACAAGGGTTTTCCCACCAAGTACTAAGTCATGTTTTGCAGAGGGGTCAAATACTTATTTCCCTCATTAAAATACAAATCAATTTATAACATTTTTGACATGCGTTTTTCTGGATTTTTTTGTTGTTATTCTGTCTCTCACTGTTCAAATATACCTACCATTAAAATTATAGACTGATCATGTCTTTGTCAGTGGGCAAACGTACAAAATCAGCAGGGGATCAAATACTTTTTTCCCCTCACTGTATCCATCCATCCATCCTAGTAAGCAACTAATTCTAAATCACTGATAAATATTGAAATGTAATCAATTATAAATTACATGACCCTCCCCTGGACTGAAATAAAAAAAAGCATTGCCCTCCCCCATTTTCCTCCAGGTATCCATTATGTATACTGAAGAAAAATATAAAACACAACATGTAAAGTGTTGGTCCCATGTTTCATGATCTGAAATAAAATAGTATTTAGGTCTGTAATAAAGCCCTTTTGTGGGGAGAAACTAATTCCGGATTGGCTGGGCCTGGCTCCGCATGGCTGTGCCCCTGCCCAGTCATGTGAAATCCATAGATTACGGCCTAATGAATTCATTTCAATTGACTGATTTCTTTCTATGAACTGTAACTCAGTAAAATCTTTGAAATTGTTGCATGTTACGTTTATATTTTTATTCAGTATACATTTCTATCCATCTCTAAATATGTTTTCATTTTAAAGCATGCCATTTAGGCTACCTGGTGTGCTAATAATAATGGCCTAGGCTGGTCACACTCACACATACCTTGTCTTTCTTCTCCCTGACCATCGTTTCTTCTGGAAAGCTCTGGAATGTTCTTCAAGGATGTCACAGAATACTTTTACAGGGAAGAGACCATCCACGTGTTTGTTTACAAGCACTTATTACATAGAAATATTTAACCATAGCCTACCAACTATGGGTGGTTTCCCGGACACAGATTAAGATAAATCCTGGACTAAAAAGCAAACTGAATAGAGAATCTCCATTGAAAATGTTTTTAGTCGAGGACTAGGCTTAATCTGTGTCCAGGAAACTGCCCGTTATGTCCCCTGGCATAGCCAGATGGTGTGCCACCATTTCTGGTACAACAAATCTGAGTTTTGGACTTCTACTCACCGCTGAATCGTCAGTGAAGTCAATCTCATCCAAATCCAGGTACTCAGGAGCATCCATCTTCAGTCAGCATTATTATTGAGACCCTAGTGAGAAGCAACCTGTAAAATAAAGCCTGATATCAGCATTCCACATTAATAACCATCCATTTATAGCCTAAGTTAAGACAACGTTGTGTTTTATAGATCTGTCTGTGTCTCAAATGGCACCCTATTCCATATTTAGTGCACTTCTTTTGACCAGGGCCCAGTGCTCAGGTCAAAAGTACTGGGACCTTGTCAAAAGCAGCGTATTATATAGGCAATAGTCTGCCATTTGGGACACAAACATTGACTATAGCCTACTTCCTGCTAATCTATGATGACAAAAGTATATATACAGTGCCTTGCATTCATCCCCCTTGGCGTTTTTTTTCTTTTGTTGCATTACAACCTGTAATTTAAATGGATTTTTATTTGGATTTCATGTAATGGACCTACACAAAACCGTCCAAATTGGTGAAATGAAACAAAAAAATAATTTGTTTCAAAAAATTCAAAAAAATTAATAACGGAAAAGTAGTGCGTGCATATGTATTCACCCCCTTTGCTATGAAGCCCCTACATAAGATCTGGTGCAACCAATTACCTTCAGAAGTCACATAATTAGTTAAATAAAGTCCACCTGTGTGCAATGTAAGTGTCACGTGATCTCAGTATATATACACCTGTTCTGAAAGGCCCAAAGTCTGCAACACCACTAAGCAAAGGGGCACCACTAAGCAAGCAGCACTATGAAGACCAAGAAGCTCTCCAAACAGGTCAGGGACAAAGTTGTGGAGAAGTATAAATCAGGGTTGGGTTATAAAAAAATATCTGAAACTTTGAACATCCCACGGAGCACCATTAAATCCATATGAATATGCCACCACAAACAAACGTGCCAAGAGAGGGCCGCCCACCAAAACTCACAGACCAGGCAAGGAGGGCATTAATCAGAGAGGCAACAAAGAGACCAAAAATAACCCTGAAGGAGCTGCAAAGCTCCACAGTGGAGATCGGAGTATCTGTCCATAGGACCACTTTAAGCCTTACACTCCACAGAGCTGGGCTTTACAGAAGAGTGGCCAGAAAAAAAGCCATCGCTTAAAATAAAAAAAATAAGCAAGCACGTTTGGTGTTCGCCAAAAGCCATGTGGGAGCCTCCCCAAACATATGGAAGAAGATACTCTGGTCAGATTAGACTAAAATTTAGCTTTTTTGCCATCAAGGAAAACGGTTTGTCTGGCGCAAACCCAACACCTCTCATCACCCCGAGAACACCATCCCCACAGTGAAGCATGGTGGTGGCAGCATCATGCTGTGGGGATGTTTTTCAATCGGCAGGGACTGGGAAACTGGTCAGAATTGAAGGAATGATGGATGGCGCTAAATACAGGGAAATTCTTGAGGGAAACCTGTTTCAGTTTTCCAGAGATTTGAGACTGGGACGGAGGTTCACCTTCCAGCAGGACAATGACCCTAAGCATACTGCTAAAGCAACACTCCAGTGGTTTAAGGGGAAACATTTAAATGTCTTGGAATGGCCTAATCAAAGCCCAAACCTCAATCCAATTGAGAATCTGTGTTATGACTTGAAGGAGCTGGAGCAGTTTTGCCTTGACGAATGGGCAAAAATCCCAATGGCTAGATGTGCCAAGCTTATAGAGACATACCCCAAGAGACTTGCAGCTGTAATTGCTGCAAAAGGTGGCTCTACAAAGTATTGAATTATGCACGCTCTAGCTTTCTGTTTTTTTGTCTTATTTCTTGTTTGTTTCACAATAACAAATATTTTGCATCTTCAAAGTGGTAGGCATGTTGTGTAAATCAAATCATACAACCCCCCACAAAATCCATTTGAAGATAGGAAAAAAATAGAAATAGGAAAAATGCCAAGGGGGTGAATACTTTCACAAGCCACTGTATGACCTGGAGTGGACGTTTGAACTTGCATGATCCAAAAGTCAACCAACAAAGCAGATCAATATCTATCTGATCAAAGGCTAAATCCTTTAGGTCACGTGTGAAACTCATTCCACGGAGGGCCGAGTGTTTGTGGGTTTTCGCACCTCCCTTGTACTTGAGTGATTAATTAAGGTCACTAATTAGTAATAAACTCCCCTTACCTGGTTGTCTAGGGCTTAATTGAAAGGAAAAAACAAACCAGCAGACACTAGGCCCTCCATGGAATGAGCTTGACACCCCTGCTTTAGGTGACTCAATTGAAATGTTCAATGTAACGTGATTAGCTGTGCCGTGTTACAGAAACTTTCTTGCCTTGAACTTTTAGGATCCTTGAACTAGGATCCTACAAGATAACCCATATACAGTGAATTCGGAAAGTACTCAGACCCCTTGACTTTTTCCATATTTTGTTACGTTACAGCCATATTCTAAAATTGATTAAATAAAAATTGTTCCTCATCAATCTACACACAATACCCCATAATGACAAAGCAAAAACAGTTGTTATTTAGCAAATGTATTAAAAATAAAAATTAACTGAAATACCTAGTTTACATATGTATTCAGACCCTTTGCTATGAGACTGGAAATTGAGCTCAGGTGCATCCTGTTTCCATTGATCATCCTTGAGATGATTCTACAACTTTGACTGGAGTCCACCAGTGGTAAATTCAATTGATTGGACATCATTTGGAAAGGCACACACCTGTCTATATAGGGTCCCACAGTTGACAGTGCATGTCAGAGCAAAAACCAAGCCATGAGGTCAAAGGAATTGTCCATAGAGCTCCGAGACAGGATTATGTCAAGGCACAGATCGGGGGAAGCGTACCAACAAATTTCTGCAGCATTGTAGGTCCAAGAACACAGTGGTCTACATAATTCTTAAATGGAAGAAGTTTGGAACCACCAAGACTCTTTCTAGAGCTGGCCCCTCCGCATTCGCTCAACCAGCTTCACCTGGAATGCTTTTCCAGCAGTCTTGATGGAGTTCCCACATATGCTGAGCAATTGTTGGCTGCTTTTCCTTCACTCTGCTGTCCGACTCATCCCAAACCATCTCAATTGGTTTGAGGTCAGGGGATGGCTACAGAGATTAGCCCTGAACCACCACGAGTGGTGCGGTGCAGACCAATTTATTGGATGCGTATGACAGCTCCCCGAAGCGAAAGAAGTATGAACGCTCTGCGGAGGCCACATCAGAGTAAATGCTGTACGGCCACTGCAGACATCGCATTGACCATGCAGAGCCTTTTACACACAGGTGTTCAGGGCATGCTAGATAGCTAATTAGCACAGGTGGTTGTCTCGTCTTTCATCTGTTTTCTGTAAACAAGCGTTATAACATGGATATATGGCCGTGTGGGAACCGTGTGGGCTAGTCTTCTGTACGGGGAGTTTTGTTAAGAGCCCTAACGATTGGTCTGAACATTAAAGGAATATTTCAGGATTATGGCAATGAGGACCTTTATCTACTTCTCCAGTCAGATGAACTCATGGATACCATTTTTATGTCTATGCGTGCAGTTTGATAAAGTTGCTAACTAGCGTTAGCGCAGTTGCTAACTAGCTTTAGCGCAATGACTGGAACTTTATGGTAACTGCTAGCATGTTAGTAGATACCATAGCGCATAGACTGGAAGTATATGGTAACTGCTAGCATGCTAGTAGATACCATAGACTTCCAGTCATTGTGCTAATGCTAGTTAGCTCTGGCTCATGAAACTATCCTGAACAAAAACATAAACACAACATGCAACAATTTCAATGATTTGACTGAGTCACAATTCATATTAGGAAATCAGTCAAATCAATAAATTAGAATAAAATCTATGGATTTCACATGACCGGGCAGGGGTGCAGCCATGGGTGGGCATAGGCCTACCCACTGGCGAGACAGCCCCAGCCAATCAGAATTCGTTTTTTCCCACAAAAGGCCTTTATTACAGACAGGATTACTCCTCAGTTTTATCAGCTGTCCGGGTGGCTGGTCTCAAACGATCCCCCAGGTGAAATGATCATTCAATTCTCTGGCAACAGCTCTGGTGGACATTCCTGCAGTCAGCATGCCAATTGCACGCTCCCTCAAAACTTGAGACAGCTGTGGCATTGTGTTGTGTGACAAAACTGCACATTTTAGAGTGGGCTTTTATTGTCCCCAGCACAAGATGCACCTTTGTAATGATCATGCCGTTTAATCAGATTCTTGATACGCCACACCTGTCAGGTGGATGGATTATCTTGGCAAAGAAGAAATGCTCACAAAATTTGAGCTAAATAAGCTTTTTGTGTGTATGAAAATGTCTGGAATCTTGTATTTCAGCTCATGAAACATGGGACCAACACTTTACATGTTGCGTTTATATTTTGGTTTAGTGTATATAAAGGGCTTCATTGACAAAATCATGAAGTATCCCTTTAACACGCATGCTTGCGGTACGGTTTTGGAAGCATAAGAACCTTATCTTTCATATTAGCGAGAAACAATTTTCAGAAAACGAAACCTTAAATTGATACACACCTTTATAGGCTTATGGTTAATGTTACCATATCTCCATGTTACAGTGTGTGTTTTTGGAAGACAGACGTGCAGGACCACCTGCGCTAATTAAGCAATAAGGCCCGAGGGGGTGTGGTATATGGCCAACATACCACAGCTAAGGGCTGTTCTTACGCACAACGCAACGCGGAGTGCCTGTTTACAGCCCTTCGCCGTGGTATATTAGCAATATACTACAAACCCCCCAGTGCTTTACTGCTATTATAAACTGGTTACCAACATAATTAGAGCAGTAAAAAATAAGTGTCATACCACGGCTTTCGGCCAATCAGCATTCAAGGCCCGAACCACCCAGGATATAATTAAGCAATAATGCCCGAGGGGGTGTGGTATATCGCTAATATACCACGGCTAAAGGGCTGTTCTTGTGCACGACGCAACGCGGAGTGCCTGGATACAGCCCTTACCACTGGTATATTGGCTGTATATGACAAACCCCTGAGGTGCCTTATTAATATTATAAACTGTTAATGCTCGGTTTTTGCATACATTTAATGTAAGCTTGCTAGCTAGTC